CAAGATCTCAAACACCAGAAATCAACCCAAAATTCCAGAGCCAAGACCGAAGTCAGAGAGAATAATAATAATAATAAAAGCCAAACATCCAACAAGAAAATATGAACAGATGCTGAAGATTAAACTTTTTTTACACAGATTTGGGTGCAAAATTTTATTTCTGGTGTGAGATATTTTTTCACACAAGCCTATACCTGGCAAATGGAAGGGTTGGGTTGGATTTGAGTCGGGTCAGAACGGGTCACAGGTCAAAATGAGTTGGGTTAAAATAGATCACGGGTCAATGAAAACTAACTCTAATCCACCTATCACGGGTCATAGGTCAACCCACGGGTTTACCTAATTGATTTTTTTTCCTTTTTTTCTCTATAATTTATACCTATTATTATCAAAAAAAATTTATTCAAAAGATTAAAAAATGTAATTCAACATCTTTATGTTTTCCCCCATTAATCCAATAAAACATATTTATAGTTCCTCAAAATCACTTTCTCCACTTTCCTTCAAAGAACAACGTTAAGACTACACACTTATTATTGCTAAGATAATCAATTAGCTAATTAGGAAAAATTAGTCAATTATTAGAGGTTTAAGTGGGATTCGGAATTAGAAAACAAAATAAATAAATAATAAATTAAAAATTTTTTAATTTTTAAATGGGTAAACGGGTCAAACCCATTAATCCAATGGGTCAACCCATTATTGACCCGTAACCCGTTGCACGAGTCATTAATGGATCACGGGTCATAAATATCTGACCCTAAGCCGTTTTAAACAGGTGGGTTAGCAGGTTGAGTAAAAAATTACTAGGTCTACACAAGCCTATTTAATTTTGGTTAAAACCTCATTTTAGTCCTTCAACTATTGTACGGATTCCTGATTTGATCCCTGAACTAAAAAAATTCCTGATTTGATCCATATTGTTTACCATTTTAACCCCAATTTGGTTCTTCTGTTAAAATCCTACCTACCTGTACAGTTATTTGATGAAAAAAGATGACATAAATATAATTAGTTCAATCAATTTTGATATCTATATATAATTACATTTTTAAATTTATTTATTTTTTAATTTTGAATTAAAAAATATTAATTTTTAATAAAT